TAAAAGCCATTTTAATATTTATGCCTGTAAATTGCAAAACAAGTCTAGCAATGAGCAACTTAAACACTGCTACTGCATGGTGGCAACACTCTAATAATAATTGCTCTGGGCAATAACTATACATTAACATATGGCAATAACTGAAATGATGGTGGGCAATAACTAAAAATATACAGATTTACGTGCAGTGATTACCCACCGTTAAAATGACCGTTAGAAATCAAATTTTATCAGTTATTTTCATTGATAATGGAGAAAACACTTATAATTTCATCATGACTATACACCATTAGTTGAATATTAAGTGACTTGCAAAAAAAATTTAACCTCTAAGCAAGTAACTCCTTAGTAAAATTGTTAAAGTCTTTACCAGTTTGAGTAACATTTTCACCCGTCTTGACAAAATCCGCCATAACTGTTTTTTTAGACTTCCTATTGTAAATTTTAAATCTACTGTAACTACATTGATCTCGGAGCCATCTACTTAGTAAATTCAAATCTAACTAGAGTGATTCAAAGTCAGCACCTGACAATATTATTCTTAAAGCGGGCAATCACTACCAGTGGGCAATCACTCTCTGGTTTACCCTATATTTCATGTACAGAATTGACCTCTCTACAGATTTATTATAAGTATAGATTTGGTTAATAACAAATTGAGACAATCTACTTCATAATAAATTCTAGCCCCAAACTAAGCAGAATTTATACTATGGCCACTTTTTATGATTTCAGCATATTTCTAATTAAACTGAACTGAGTTTGTTGCGGCGCTTCTTCTCAGCACTTGCCAAATGTTGGTCTCGAAGCGCTGGTAGGGTAAAAAGATTATGAGACATGTAGAGGCTCCTTAAGAGCATATTTTATGACGATTTGTAAGAACTATTTATTAGTCTAAACAAATAAAGAAATTTTGACTTTGACTTTGACTTTAAACATAATCTTATTTTCTTAATAATTTTTCAGCAAAAATCCATGATTATTATCATCTAATGACGTTATTAAAATGTCATTTTCCTCTATAAAACACATTCAGGGTCTGTATAAAGCTAGATATCTACGTTTTGTATGAATTATCGTCACTCACTGCGCTATGTACATAATATTTTGCGTAACTGTAATATTATGAAGCCAAAGCTTTCCTATGAACTAATGAACATTAAACCGTTTAATCNTGACGGTTTCTGGTTTGTTCCGTATTCTGAGCTAAATACAAAGCGCTGCAAAATGTCACTGGTCGAGTATTTTTATAGCAACATGATTAGTCTTATCTTTTGGTTAATATTTATAAATAAAGCAAAACTACGATTTAAATCTTCAGTTGAAGTATATTTTTATCGAATATCTTTTATATTTTACGTAATGTACCATTAGTAAGCTTAACAGTAATGTCTGTCACTTACCTGTCTGTAGAGCTCATAAAATTATAAAAGCGCTTTAAACTGGTGATGATGAATTTTCAATATAAAAATGGTGTCTGGCCTGCAGCAAGATAATCAAGCCATCAGCAAATCTGCCGCGTAGTATGACACAACTACTATGTAGTGCTTTAGTCAAAGCCAGTGCCTTCAACTTACTGGTCTAAACACTATTAAGTATATCTCCACCGCTGCCTTTCAAACTTTTTTTCAGACTAAGACATGCATAACAAGTTGTCTTACTTACCTAAAATGTACGTTGAGAACGCAGACCGTCATCCAAACGCTTAACGACACCAAAATCATTGTAAACAGCAAATACTTTCCTAGCAGGGGTATCGCCAACGAGGTCGGCGGTATTATCTCAGCCAGCAGCAGGAAAAACACCGTCAGTGACACCAATATTGAGATGCTTAATGATATCTACGAGAGAACAGACAAATTACCTGAAATGGACGTTTACAATGCAAACAGTGAACCAAACGCTGAGAGAGACGAGTATCATGGTGAATAGCAGGTATTTCCCGAGCAAAGGGATCGCCAGGGAGGTTGGCGGGATGATCTCAGCCAGACCAAGGAAGAACACTGTGAGGGAGACCAGGATGGAGATGCAGAGCGAAATCTAGGGAGAGAATTAAGTCCTTTTTGAGTACACGTTAAGCATATGATTGTCTTTCCACTTCAGAAGCAGCGAGTCATGTGGAAGCACGCACAAACGCACACATTCGGATGAGTCATGTCAGTTTGTGAATGGAAGCTTTATGAAGTGTTCGAGTATAGATTCACATTTTAGATCCAAGCAGTGGCAATGTTTCATGTGATTTGCTATTGTTTTTTGTTTCTTCTAAGCTGTTCAAATCACTATCATAAGTAGTGATTTTATGATAAGCAATCATCAAACGTCAGGTTCATAATTAGTATTTCTGTTGATAAAAATCTAGTCTAAGTTCTAAGAAGTAGAATTGGAAAGAAGACCGAAATTTAGAAGAATCTACTTTTGTGGCGCGAATAGTCCAGAAAGAATGGAAGTCAAAGATTCTAGACTACTGAATAACGAAAGCTTTTATTTAGAATGAAGTACATTATAGCCAACAGTCTAAAACTGTGCCACTACTCATACGTTAAAAATAATAGGATCTTATAGCAATTCGTAAGAGATATTCACGTTGATAGAGTAGCAAGGAAGGAAACATTTTTGGCATTCACAATAAATATTCGTAAGTAACAAACACGCAAAAAAACATCGATCAAAGAAATGAAATGGATTCACAAGGAAAAATAAATGCTCCCAAGTATGAAGAGCCTTCCATACGTTATTACAGAGGTGGTTTTAGAGCTGAATGAACATTGCATTTAGCAAAACATTTTTCCTAGTGAATAAGAATCGAAGTAACTTTGCTGATTTTTGAGGTTGAAAGACCTAATTCATAATAAAATAGCTAATATTTTTGAAGACAAACATTAAAGATAATAATTAAGGGACTAACAGGTAATTTTATAAGCAAAGTTATTTCGTTATATTCAGTGGAAAGACAATGATGATCAAACTCGTCTTACGACGCTAACACACTCACACAATCTAACTAATGATTCAAAAAAGACTAATACTGGTTATGGATGAGTGAGAGGCAAAACATGGAAGATGGATCATGGGCAATGGATAGAAGGATGGAACAAACATGCCCTAGTGCTATCCCAAACATGACTTCGAAACGAATCTGCCATTCGAATCATTTATTTATTAGTAAGGCACAGCTACAGAAATACTAAATACGAGTATTTCTGAAGCATCGCATGAATCGTTTACCAATGAAATCTGTATAATGTTAGTCCAAAGTCGTACGTAATTGTAATAATTAGAATTTCAAAATATATTTCCGTTCTTTCGTTCGTTTCAGCCAAATGACGTCCACTAAACAAAGGTTTTCCACAATGAACGGTCCTACGCTGCCCGAATTCAGGCTCTTCCCGCGACCTTTACCAAATATTTTACGTAGTACGTAATAACATGTAGTACTACTATTTGAAGTGTTTTTAATTTCTAGATCGAAAACCAATTCGTAAATATGTTCTTAGATTTTTCTATTCCCTATGAAATTATTTTTAACTGTATCTACTAAATTAACTCAATTTTGATTTAAGCTTGCTACGATTGGCAGATTGTTTCGGTCATCATTATTACCTATCACTCTTCATTACTTACATAACACCAATTCCATCTAATTTCTGTATAATAAACTCTATTATTTCGACCCGTAAAATGGAGTGGGGAATTCATAGGCATAGGATGTAACTACGCATGACAGGCATCGAATGGCATATCACAAAATCACAAAGACAAACTAACAATCCAAAATACAATCAATTTCTGATCACATGTGAATCTATACTTCGATATCAGACATTAATAAAGAAGGAAAAAACTATTATCAAGAATTTTTAAAACACTTCAAAAAGCAGGCAAGTTACAAAAGCTTATAAATACATTATGTACTGTTTCTTGTGTTGTTTGTATCAGCAGTTCTATAGCCTGCAATTTTTTATTGATCATTGTAGGAATATTCTTCACAATCATACTTGATGCTCTTTCGAATAAAAATACATCCAAATCGATGCGTGTATGCTTGTGTCGTGCCTAAACATAACAAGGTTATTTAAATTATTTGATGTTTCACTCAAAAATACTTTTGATCTTTACGAAGTTGTCTACTTTTACATGCTTATATTTATACGATTAGAATGCAAAAGTATTTTTGTCATCAAATCATTTAATAACCCATTTTCTTCAGCTGTATGAGAAAGCCCGATCAATAAATAGGTATCACGCAAAAAGTCACTTGTAAGTACAGTCAAATTTAGAAATAATATAGCAATTACATTTTTGTGAACCCCTCCGTAAAAGTACACAATTTTACATTTATTCTCTTACATACTTTGCACTTTTCTACTTTAGCTACTTTTTTGCGATACGGTGAATTTTCAAAATTGACTGTACTCCAAGGTTTTTGTTCTTGTGCAATTTTATACTGCTAACTTTGAATGTCCATGTTACGGATCGGGCTTAGCGTTGCATTCTCCCACTTACCTTCTCCCCTGAGTCAGACGGTAAGTAGAACACCAGCACTGTCAAGAAAGTCAAACCCACACACGGTATGATGAGGTTCACTGTGTAGAAGAGGGTTTTACGGCGCATCGTCAGTTTGAAGGTTATATCTGGAAGAAAAGGGTTTAATTAGGGTTTTTTTAATCATTTTTTTAATTACTTGTGGACGCCACTGGAGAGTAAGCTCCTGTCACTTGCTTGTGTCTAATAGTGGCGCCAACTGGTCAGCACTGAAGTAGTAGTAGGAGGTTTTTTTGGAAAACTTGATCGTTATTATTACTAAAAGGTATCAAATAAAAATGCCTACTGTACTCTACATCTTGAAGATATAATTTCATTTATGAAAGTCGTGGGAACCGCCTGGATGCGGACAGCACAACACCAATTGTTGCAAAAATCCCTGGAGGAGGCTTTTGTTCAGCAATGGCCGTCTTGGTTACAATATGCCAGTTCAATATCCAGTAACCGACCAGTGTTTATCAATAGTTCAGCGAAATTATAAATGCAACGAGCAATTATTTGTCAAAACTGTAAATGCCAAATAATAATAATTTGGCTATGGCAGACTGACAGGGATTCAATTGTGTACCAACATGATGCAATAAAGATTTACGACTATGACAGGGTTTCTGGATCTCTTGCAATCACTGACTCATAGACCAATTGTCTCATACGACTGTTGTACACTTTGCTATCACGTAATCGTTCTAAAGCATCCTCACCAGAAAAAGGCTCCGCGCAGCACGGGTAGTACTCCTCATTCCTGGTAGCAGGCACCTCCAGGATATCCCACTCGACTGATAGGTAGAACTCGCTGAGGTCGATGCCCACGTGGACCAGGCTGCTGCCGGGCGACTGATCCATGTGCTTGAGGTCCACCTGGGTGGTAGAATGTTTAACGAAACTTTTAGTTTTAGTTGGTTCGCTAGAGACGGATAAAATTATCTAGGTAGGTACTCACAGCTTAACCGCCGCGAACTTTCAGTGATTGTTATAGAACTGCAAACTACAGGAACTAGCTAACTGCCTATTTCGTCTTATTAATTTCCTAGCTTGCTTCAAAAGTAACGTATTATAAAACAGCACCCAAATAAATCTTCTATACGTTTATACGTAGCCAGGGCTTGAACATGCTTTTGGCATAGCAAACCAGCTTTAATTTTCCGTTAAAACAGTTAAAAACTATTACATTGGAATGATTTCTCGAAAAATACATAATTTCCAGTCTTGCAAATTTTTTGTACCTACCTTATTTCACTTTTTTTTCAGAGTTTAAAGTTATTATGCTTATGCTTAAGCAATAAAGATATTATGATGATGATTATTGCACATTATTCTGATAATGAAACAAGTTAATAAGCTCGTGGCGGTACAAATGAATACTGAAAAAATATAAAATAATACCTGAGCTCCATTATAAGTCCAAGAGCCGAACTTCATGAAGCAGGTCTGCTCGTCAAATGGGAAGTACTCGACGTTGATCTCGCAGGAAGACTTGTAGATGGCCGGCGGCTTCCAGTTCACCTCTCCAGTGTACTTGAGGGTAGCTTTGGTCATCAGGGTCACCTGGAAAAATGTATTATTGACGTATAATTGCAAAGATCTAGTAATTGTAGAAGAAAGGCACACACTTTATACGAGTAATATCTACATTGAACGTTACGCACAATCTAAATGGGACACGGAATTAAATTTTGAAAATGTATTACGAAAATTATTTTATATGACAAGTTATTTTAAGTGGCCAATTATTATACAGGGTGTCCCAGAATGGGTAAATCAAACTGATAGGGGAGGTAGCTCTACGAATGTACTATCCCTAAAAAATATGAAAAAAAATCTGTCCCTGACCCTTATACTGGCATCTCGCTTTGCGTGAGAGGGATGGCAACATTCGTAATTCGGGTAACGTTTTCCGGGTACATACCTCGTAGTTCCCATCCCAGTTGTTGTACAACACTATGTCCGGCAGCCAGATGTGTTCAGAAGGCACGTACAGCATCTCCACGCCGCCGTAGTCGTCCGGGTTCCAGGTCAGCTTGTAGTCGAACCACTTCTGGAATCGGTAAGATAAATTGATTAGAAATTAGACTCCATCTCACTTTTTAACATCAGTTGCGATTGCAGTAATACCTAAAAATAATTAAAACAATTTATCAAAAAACAAACGCAAAACTTGTCGATTCCGATTGAGTTGGTTGGGTAATAGGATCGCAGTCATACCGGGTAAAAGCACTTTTTAAGATTTCAAATAATAAATAACTTTTATATTTTAATTTTAATTTAGTTTTTATTGAAGCCGATATACCCAACGGTGACAGTATCGAATTTCGATTCGAGTTGCCTGTCCAATCCCAGACGCGTCGTCTGTACCTCTAGCATGAACAACTTTCGTCTTCGAATCGTTTGCGTATTCGACAAAATTCGATACTCATCTTCGAATGAAACGATAACGTGACAATTTTGATTTTCAAAATAAGTTTCGTGCAACCATTTCTCATACTAAGTTCACTTTACGACACGTTCACAAGGGCGCTGTTGTAGTTTTCGTATTCGAACTCGAAAGTTTTTCGTGCTAGCCGTACTGATTACTCTGGTGAACCCACTCCTAACCCAAACTCAGTCGGTGCCTAGGTATGAGAACGGCATAGGAGGGGTAACGTTGATATATTATGACACAAAGCATACTAATCTGAAGTCTCGCTGACGTTTGAGGGCTCAAAAACATCTTCCCGTGACGCTCCCATACCTCATTCACTGATTATTACATTACAGATTATTAGCTTACAGAAAGAAAACTGGAAACTTATAAGCGCTTACCAGCGCTTGTCAGCGCTGGTCCGTTCATTCACAAAGGAAGCAAGTTGAATGACATTTTATATGGCAGCGTCCAGCGCTGACCAGCGCGTGTTGAAACTAGTCGGCGCCGTTCAGTGCTTATCGGCGCGCGTTCATATACTTTCCTGCGCGGGTTACCAGCGCTGTCAAGCGCCGGTAAGCGCTTATAAGTTTCCAGCTTTCTTTCTGTATACGGCCTTAAGCGCTAGAGCCATAGTAATTTGTACACTACAATTACTAATACTCTTTTTTTAAATTCTGGTCTGAATCTAGGAACTGACCTGTTCCACCCAAAGATTCGTGGTCATGACCTGGTTCTTCAGGTTGACCTCCATCAGCTGTGACAGCTTGAGCCCCAGCCGGACGGTCAGGATGTCGCTCACGTTGGTAACCGGACGGATCAGCCGGTTGTAGTTGCTGAGCAGGTCATCGTAGAGACGCTTGACGTCCGGGTTCGCTTCTAGGAGCTTTACACCTGAAAGGTATGAAAAAATGAAAATGAAAATATTTATTGCCTACTACAAAAAAAGACAGACCTCCACACTAGGCATTGCCTGCCCTGTGGAGGAAGGAGTAGTGATGCTTTATTTGCACACCACACAAAGTAGACATATTATTTAAAGTTCAATAATATACTAAATCAAAACGGCACAATTTAAGCGATCTTGTCGCTAGAAAGCGAAGAATAAGAATTGTTAAGTTTAAAGTAGGTAATAAAATTATAATTGAATCACAACAAATGACAATAAACGAAGTTAGTAAGAATATGCAGACATTTAGGCTGGATTGCACCATCTTACTTTAACATAAACACCACACTTTAACCGTAACTACAACAATAACCATTATTTTTTGTATAGAGTTTGACAGATTTTTGACGTGTGTTTAAAGTAAGTTTTTTAACTTTAACAAACGTCAAAAATCTGGTGGTTAAAAATTAAATATACTTTTCATTTGAAATTGGTAACTGTTAATCATAATTCCACAATAATGTGGCATCATAGATATTATGAAGTCAAGTTACCTACTTGCTATTATTATAATTATAATCAAAAGCATTGTCAAAGTGAATTAAAAATCGGTTAGTAAATATTTTATAGTATTCGTAAATCTTAAACGTCAGTTGACAGACAGTTTGAATATGAAACTTTTTACAATGGAATAAGAGCTACAATGTAATGTTCGATCTGTACACATTCTTTTACAATAATTTAGGACAAAAGTGACTTACCCAGACAATATCTAGCGTAGGTGAACAAAATCCACACGATTCCGACCCGCATCTTCACAAGTTATAATTTAAAACTTATTTTCACTGGCACATGTTTACAAATTCGGGACCTTGTCTCAGTAGGTCGCGCAAGCGCGATCAATACTACGAGCTACGAAACGCCCTGTCGTAGTCGCTCGTAGCAAATCGTAGCCGCTATAGTGGCGCCGCTACGGCCACAGAGCGGTGGCGTTACGGCGCACTAACGCTTTCGTAGTCGAAGCGCTGCTACAAGATGCGCGTAGCTGAACTACGAACTAGTACTGGTGTCAAGCGATAGATGGCTCTGCATGTCTTAAAATTCGCATTATTTTTAACCGACTTAGACAAAAGGAGGATGTTTCTCAATTCAGTTGGTGTTTTCTTTTTTCTTTTTTTTTTTAAACGTGTGCCAACTATGCACGTCAATCAAATTTAGGGTCCGTGCACACCGAGCTTTATTCAGGGACGGCACATGCACATAATAACGCAATGTGTACGCTATGTTATCGCAATCAATGCAGCAAATAAATATAATTTACTATAGCAGAGCAACATTATTTTCTGGGTAGTAAAAATAAAATGTAACACATTTGCAATAATAACATTCATTTATTAACCACATACAAATGTTAAATTCTATTGAATGATTATAAACGTATCTATGTTCTAGACTAGACTTATCAAAAATACAAAAACATGGCAATGTTCCGTACCCTTCTTTATCCACATTGTTATTCGGCATAGTTTATCGATTATTCTATCAAATGTTACGTAATAAAGAGGACTTTCATAAGCAATCATCATCAACGTCATACAGGACGTCCACTCACTATGAACATAAGCCTCATGAGCTATGAATTTCGAATAAGGTTCTGTCACTCATATAGGCAAGCAACAAAAGGTACCCCTACCAACTTGACTATTAAAATAGACTAGCTGTGCCCGCGACTTCGCACGTGTGAAAAGTTTTAATAATATTTCCCGTTTTTGCAACATTTTTCTTTACTGCTCCGTCCCCATTGGCGTTGTTATAAATATCATAAAGCCTTCCTTGATAAATGGGCTATCAAGCACAAAAATATTTTTTCAAACCAGTAGTTCCTGAGATTAGCGCGTTCAAACAAACTCTTCAGCTTTTTAATACATATTAGTTTAGATTTCAAAATGACTAAAGTTTTAAATTACCATTAAAAAGTAAATGGCTTACATTCGTCTCAATGCAGGGCACCCTCACTTTAACTTTAGGGTAGCTCATCCCACCGCCTTAGGTCATATCCTACGACACGGGTAGATACTTATATTATAAGCTTCATTTTACCCTTTATTGAAAGCTAATAATATTATTTATTATAATCTGCTCAAATAGCCGGTTGGTGGGCATTCAATATAAATTTATTTACGAATACAAAGTACCACTAATTAAATCTAATGTTTAATCTAAAACAACATGGGTCTCTGTTTCGTCGACCCAGCTTTAGAATTTCACAAATAATTTTAAAATTAACAAATCAAATAAAAAACTTTACAAAACAGTCATATGGTTCGAATTATGAGCCAATTATTGAGATTCGTCGAAAATAGCAAATACTTTTACTTCGTTTATCTTTTCTTCCTGTGTAAGGTCCTCAACAACCTCTTGTTTTTGAAGACCTCTGGCGGTTCTTCCACCTCGCTCGCTGGTCGATCTGAAAGATAATAACATAATACAATAAATAACACGATCACAAATGTAGCCCACCATATAAACCAAGTGAGTGAAGAAGATCTTTTCATTATTGTAGTATTGTTCAAACTGTAGGTGTCGAGAATGTATCAGTATATGAGACATAGGTTTACTGTATAGCAATCACACATAATTATAATTAAAATACCTATGTTATTTGTTAAAGCAGTGCATTTGTTTCCCAACATTTTATAGCTAAGTTTTAAAAAAAATTACAAACTTAGAAAATTACATGGAAAAAGTTAAATTTCTAATTTCCTCGCTACGATTTTGAAAGTTTTTCTGCAAATATTGTTTTAATTGTTTACGAACAATTTAGTGTAGAAAAAAAATCCATTTTTTTTTTCTTTCGAATGAAGCCATATTGTAATTCAATATTTGGAAAAAACCTGTGAAACGTAGTACTGACCTTTTAGCGGGTACTTTGGCATTGGCCACAGGCTAAAAGGGTAGAAGTACGAGATTGGCACCCTTTTCACGGCTATGATCCTTTCTTGTGGAACCATCTTGGTTTCTGAAATGAAGCAAATTAAACATTTATTTACCTAAAGGATGATACTAACTCAATATTCTGAGTCAAATAATATCCTACCATTCAAAGTAATAATGACAGATAAGTAGATAGACTCTGCTCCATTTTAAAGGCGGGGGGGGGGACTTACAGACGCTTATCTGCATTATTTTCAAAAAATCCTACTGCTAACATTGTGAATAAAAGACTCGAAAATCTTCTGTTTATTTATCTAGCGACCCGCCCCTGCTTCGCACAGGTACAATACTTAAAAACCTTCCTCTTGAATCACTCTATCTATTACGAGTAAAAAAAAACTGCATCCAAATTCGTTGCGTAGTTTTAAAGATCTAACCATACTCGTACATAGGAACAGACAGTCAGGAAAGCGACTTTGTTTTATAATATGTAGTGATAGTGATTTAGTAATGAGTTAATTTCAAATCGCAGAAAGACTAGGTATTGTAGTAAAGGAATCGATCATTTGCAATGTGAACTTTGTTAAAATCTAAAAAAAGTTTTCATTGTACAGATATTATGGCGCTTTACTCTCTGTAGTAGCCAAAAAGTAGGTCTCCAACCGTTTTGTCGGTCACTGTCTAACCAAAACGTCTACAAGTCAACAACCCGTGTGGATTACATCACTCCAGCGATCCAAGTGCATTATCAATCCATTTATTACTGACGATTGGACCAGGAAGTGTAGGACAGATGGCAGCAACCAGTATCTTCCTAGGAAGCCGTCAATGCCACACTTAATAGAGCAGAGAAAAATCTTCCATTGGTTCGTTATGCTAATACCTAGCACACGGTTTTAAGGTAACTTTATCTCATAAATTAATTGATTGTATGTATGATAAAGTGCAAGACCGAGTAATCTGCCAAAAGTCTTAATTTTACGGTAAGGCATTCCTTTACTATTTGCAAATTATCTTTCCAGTCGCCTAAAAAAGTCGTTTCATGACACGTTTTCAACATAATTATGTAGTTAAATTGGTAAATTATCTCGTTTTAAATAGGTTCGTAAAGACGTCTATAATTTAAGGAAGTTATTACCTCTTCACTCTTTCTTTTGGACCGCCATTGTCCATTTCTATGCTCTTTTAACATAGATATGAAACATCGGATACCCAAAGCTGAAAGCAGCTCTATTGTTTTCCTTGACGTCACGTCTCGTATCACTTGTACCTATAGACGTCACCAGTTAATCAAATGTTGCGATTGTCCTATTCCCGCGACTTCCCTGTGGAGTGGGAAACTATTTTCCACTTAAGGTGCGATGAAAATGATCCGTTACGTGACGATTTGCAATAATCTGCGCGGTAGTGTCGTGTTGCTGCAACGTGCTCGGTTAGGTGCATATGCGCAGATTACATGCGCAGTGATTTGATAAAGGATTGACGCCCGTATTCACAAACGATGCTTGCTTAACGGCCGAATNGGGGACATCGCATATAGATGACCCACGCTGAACTGTCCCGCCAAACTCAATGACAGGGGGGCGCTACCATCGTTCAACTTTATGGTTTCCAACATGGCAAAAATCGGAACCAGCGATTCGGTATTGACGGTGGCGCCCCGCTGTCAATGTCATCGATAGGACAGTTCAGTATTTTGGAACTATAGTAGCATTTCCAAGAGTTGTTGATTTGTCAATTTGATGCTCTGTCAACAATGATAAATGTCAATTGAGGTTACGTTTCGGTCCACGATCGCCACTTAATAGATTTCAACAATAAAAAGTATCACCTTTAAAATCATTTTTTTAATTAAAAAAAAATGCAAGCATTAATTTTTTTATATGATAAAACGAGATTTATATATAATAGAAACTAAAAATAAACTGTTCTATGTTAAGTTGATTGAGTATATTTCCATNCAAAAATAATTTTGATCTTTACGAAGTTGTCTACTTTTACATGCTCATATTTATACGATTAGAATGCAAAAGTATTTTTGTCATCAAATCATTTAACCTTTAACCGACGACGTGCGGTCTCACAGACCGCTCCGGTTTTTGAAATTTCTGGATTGCAATGTTCTACTTACTCCCGTGTCCCGTGCGTCTCAGTACCTTCGAGTTTAGTTGCCCATACGCCATTACAGGTAGTGGTTACATCGATTAGGGCAGTTTTAATAAGATAATACGATTTAAAGTTCAAGAGCGGTCTGTGGGACCGCACGTCGCAGACTACGTAACATTTTTGTACCATACTAAAACTTGCGTTTTTGTTTTAGACGACAGATTTTTCGTAAAAATGATGGATACTGGGCCTGCTGGGCCATCACAACCTAGAAAAAGACATTTCCTAATGATATATTGATATTAGGACATAAAATTATGTAAAAGATGGTAGTCTGTAAAAAAATACCGCGGAACGGGTGGTACAGAAAACAGTGACATGTATTCTAGGCTCTGACATGCCAAATCAGCCTGATGTCATTGCACCAGCAGCAAAAAAGACGTACATTTTAGTCCACCTAAATTGAAAACGAAATTATCTTACAGGTGTTACCTATGCATACCGAAAATGCTTGGCATGCGGTAAAAAAATATGTCCTGATTTTGCCCAATGTTTACCCTACGTCAAAATTTTTTTTGTGCATGTAATGTACGTGTCATTTATTTTTATTTTATTCATCATCATCACTATATTTAGGAAAGAGTATCATTTTTCTTGTTTTGATTAAAATTTACAAGTTTTATAGGTATTATAGAGCTCTAGTGTAATTTCAATGAAATTAAGGGTCAAAAAAGTTTTAGCCATATTTAAATAAATAATATACATTGTTTCCTTACAAATTATACGTATGTTTATTTTTAATGCCATAATGTTCTCAAAAAATATAAA